ACCTGTTATTACAGCTTTTAAGGAAAAAACCTCAAAAACACAAATAAGAAACCAACCAACCCAACAACAACTTCCACTTCTTAAAAACACCACATTGCAACTGACAGTCCTCAGCTGTGTCACCTTTAATCCCTGCAGAAAGCCAACACATGCTGGGTATTGGCAGATGTGATGCTTTGATGTCCTGCATCATCTGCTTCACTGGTAACTTTCTCCGTAGCACAAGCTCACACACAGTGTTCACATGGAGCTCCCCAACAAACAGGTTTTTCCTAAGGTGAATATGCAAAGCATTCATGCTTGTAAAGTATAAAATTGCAGAGCCAAGCCACTAGTTAGGATTCATGAGTTTCATGACACCAGTGTTACTCTCCTGCTCAAAAAAGAGGGATCTTCAAGGCAATCATGCCATTCAGCATCACTCCCAGGAAGAGCTACTGGAAAGCTGCACATGGGTTTACATGTAGGAAACCAGAGCATCTGGAGAGCTCAAAGCATAGGAAAGCTACTGATTCGGTTGTGTCCTGGCAACTTTAGGAACTTCCATGGCAAACAAAACACCTTTTAGGACCTTACCACAGACACAGGATGATGGCGCATCCATGGTGATGACACTCATCACAGCTACTTCCCCAGACTGGATTTAAGGCCAGTTAAGTTCAGCTTCTCTCTAGGCATGTTCTCCTGTAGCTTAATAAGCTTGTGACAAGACACCAGTGGTACCCTCTAAGTCATTAATACAGAATTAAGTCGAGCTCCTTCAATTTCATAGGGGCAGACCTTAAGTTATTTTTAAGTCCTCTCTCTCAAACTCAGTGCAAGAGTCACAAACATCTCCAGACAGAAGGAGAAACCAAGATGTCAAAGTACACCTTAAACACAGTGGTTTGACTGCACAATAACATCACAAATTCAAGCTTGAAGTTTCTGCATCACAGAGGAACCTCTTCACATTTCCCACTGTATCTCTTGGTGTCATGACAGTCATGACAATCAGAAATGTCCCGAACTGATGGCAACCCGGGATAGATGGTTTTCATTTTTATGTGGATTATCACAGAGCTCTAAAACAAGACCACCATTAATGCCAGCACAAAGGCCTGGAGAGGTGCATGCTTTCAGAGCAACAGCCGTTGGTGGGGTTTTTTGCTTGGTTTTTTTTAGGTAACAGAACTGTCTTCCATCAAGTACCTCTACAGCTTCCTCTGTACCAAACCAGGCCAGTGACTGGATGTCTGCATACGCCGACCACCTTGAGAACCAATCCTAAGTGTTAATTGAATATCTGCTGTGATACAATGAATGCCACTGGAAACTGTTTCAGCAAGAGAGGAAGTCACCCAGGTTATCCTGGGCCGTGTGTCACTGCAGGAGCACAGACCTGAACAGTTGGCTTCCCTTGGGCCATACCCAGCAATAGGCAACCGCAACATCCCGCAGTTTGAGAAACAACAGTTCTGAAACCCAACAAATAGACTCCTGTTGTTGTTGTGGTAAGGGATGAGCTACCCACCCTCCCAGCATGGGATGGCAAAGTACACCAGCTGGGGATGTAAAACCCAGGACCCTGAAGGGGAATGTCACTTATCTGTAACACACCAGGAGGATTCTTTTGGTCTCATCTGGTACACAGCTTTGCCAACCTCCACTCAAACACAAGGGCTGTATCAGATGAAGCTGGTTAAATTAGCTTATAAACCAGATTTTATTTTGCATTTTAGAAAGCACAATCTCTCCAGCATCAAGAGGGACAGCTCTCCGACCCAGCAACACTTACACAGCCTTAGAGCTCACGGTAAACGATGGTGTGGTGGAAGCAAGCACTAATGAACCACTGAAAGAATTTATCTAAGTTCTCTCCATCACTGCGAATTTAAACATTCAGCTCTTCTTCTGGAAGCGAATGGCTCAATTCGGACATTGCTGATCCTCGGCCTGAGCTGCATTAAGCAAGTATTGAGACAAGATCACCAGCCTACAACAGCTCATTCAGTGCCTTCCCACCAGCGCAGGCCCCCACCGGCCAGCACGGATCCCAGTCAAGACCAAGCACACGGTTCTGATCCCCAGGCACGTAAGCAAACAAGAAGCAACGCGAAGGTCTAGGAGCGGAGCCAAAACCGCACCGAGCGCGGTGCGGCCGCCACCAGCTCCCCCTGCCCGAGGCCCTGCAGGAGCCCAGAGACTTCCCCGGTGCAAGGGCCCCAGCACCGGAGCGCCCGCGGCGGTGCCCCCAGACCGGAATTCCCCTTCCGCCGGGCGGGGGGAAGGCCCGCCCCGGCCCCGAGCCCCGCCGTCCGGCCCCGGCCCGCAGCGCGGCCCAGCCCAGCCCTGCGCGTACCTGGCAGAAGCCGCGGCAGTAATTGCGGGACGAGGGCTCCGACACCTCCTGCTCACGGAGCTCGGCCTGCAACTGCCAGAGGCGGGCCCGCAGCGCCGCCACCACCCGCGGCATCTCGGGCCGCGGAGCCGCCTCAGCCTCGGCGTCCGCCATCTGCACCCGGCCCCACTGCGCGTAGGCAGCGATCACGTGACTCGCAGCCGCTGACCTCATCGTCCCGGGACGGCGTCACGTGACACGGTGGGGGAGCGCACGTGACGCCTCCTGGCGCGCGCGTCCGCACTGACGCCACCAGCAGGGGCAGCGGGAGGGGCCGGGCCAGCGGCGTCACGTGACGCAGGGGGCGGCCACCGCTCCCCCCATACAGCCGGTGAAGGGAGCACGGGTCCGGTACCGGCAGCGCCCGGAGCCTCCGGGGGGACCCGGGTTCAGCACCGGCCGCGGTTCGGCCTCACCGGGGGGAACCGTGAACCCGTGCGTGGCAAGGGCGGAGCAGTGACTCTGAAGGTGCCCTCAACCGCGATTTGGTGCCGGGAACGGAGCGAGCGGGACAAACCCTTGTGGAAGGGCCTTTGTCCGTCCCTGCGCTCCCCCTCCGGTATCGGTCCTGCTCCCCTGCTGCAGTGAGCCAGGGGCAGGGCGCTGCAGGCAGACTGGAGCTGAGCAACGATCCCGTCTGCAGAGGCTGCCCAGGGCAGGGCTGGGGTTACCGGCCCTGCAAGTGTTCACACCCCGTGGAGACGAGGCCTCAGCGCCATGGGTTAGAGGTGGCCTTGGCAGTGCTGGGGTAAGGGTTGTGACCTTAAACGTCTTTTCCAACGTAATTCTATGGTTCTGTGATTTCTCCTCCAGCAACGGGACAGAGTGGGCAGGCAGAGGGAAACGTGGAGACTTGAGTACACCTGGAGGCAAACAGCAGACATTGCACAGAGAGCGGTGGAGGATTTGTGTTTGACAGAGATAATGCATTTTATATGCGGTTATACGCCTTCATACACGTTATATGAGTTTAAATGCATACAGAGAATCATAGAACGGCTAGGGTTAGAAAGGACTTCAAGATCACCTAGTTCCAACCCTCCTGTCATGGGCAGGGACACCTCGCACTAAACCTGTATATATGGATACATAAAATATATGTTTATACTGACATGTGTATATGGGAGCCACTGAGGTAGTTGGAAGAGAAACCTTCCCCTTTACCCTGGAGAAACATTAAAGGCTCTTAGGGCCAGGGCATTGTCCTTAACCCGTGTTCTGTCCCATGGCGGGTACTTGGGATTGAACAACTCCTTGCCACTGGCTGCTTACAAGCCCTTTTCATAGTACATATACATATACATATATATGTATACATAGAAATGGGTGTGATGTTTCCCCTCTGCCAGCCACAGCTTTTCAAACATGATGGAGAGTGGCCTGGCAAGGACATGAGCCAATGCAGCTTTGTGTCCTGCACCTCAGGTGTGGGAGCAGGGCCTGGGTATCTGCACTGAGCCGTGCTCCAGGACTCCAGAGGCTGTTTGGAGGCTTAGGTTGGTTGAAGTGGTCCATCTTTTCCTATGAAAACCCCGGAATGTGAGGTGTAACCACCCCTCACCAGGGTACCAGTTATGGCTATAGGGAAAAGGGGATGTTGCTCCTTTGAAGACGGGTTTTCTTGGTTGTTCCCTTCACCAGCCATAAACATCCTACGCACTGGGTGCTCTGGCTGCCTTTATCCCAGGTGGTGGTGGTCCCCTTTCCCCATGGAATGCGGGAGGGTGGTGGGGCCTGGTGTACCTGAGGCACAGCTGTTCCTTAGGGAGCTCATTCAGCTCTTGGCCTCTGCTGGTCCTTCAGTCTTTTGATGGCTTGGAGCTCTCTGAGCTTTTTGGTTTTGGTTTTCCCATTTAGAACCACTCAGGGTTTTTCTTCTGCAGCAAGAGCTCCTGCATGGGTTGGGGTTCAGCAGCGCACCCATCAGCAGGTATCCTTACATGAAAGCATTTTATTTCAGGTTAGCAGGTCTGCATTGGGTGTTTAGGGAGGGCACAGGGGCTGATGGGCGCACTTTGGGAGCTGGGCTGGGTGGACAGTACCCAGATGGAGTTTTAGGTGGCAAAGCAAGGGTGGATTGCCATGGTGGTGGCACTGTTCCGGAGCTCACCATCTGCAGGTGATGCCAAGCACCAGCTTCCTGTCCTAGCACCTTAGGCTTAGGAACTGGGGCTGGACATTTGCACTTTGGCAGCTAGTTTCTGAAGCATCCGAGGTGGCGAAGGGAGAGAGAAGTGTGGCACAAGGAGCTAGAAAAGGGGATACTGGGAATGAGAGGGATGGGAAGCAGGAGAGAAGTGTGATGAGAGAGGAAAATGGAGAGATTTGAGGGGAGAAAAGTGGAGCGATGGAGGGTTAGCATAAGGGATAGGCCAAAGCCCACTGGGGATCTGCAGCCTTGGTCTATCCAATGTCCTCAGCAGCCCCTTTTCCAACATGCAGGCAAGGCAAAACATCCTTGAGAACAGTCACTCCTGTCAGTGCAGGTCCCAGCCAAGGGATGGGGATGGAGCAGGAGCCACTTTTCCTGTGGCAGCTCCATGCTGGGGGCTGAGCCTCCAGAAACGTCCCCGCTGTTCTGCACACACCCGTGCATGGGCAGAGCTCCCGTTCTGGGGGGTTCAGGGCTCAGCCCCTTGCTCAGGGAGGCCGCGCTCGTCCCCAAGCCCCCTGTCATGGTCCTGGCCCTGCCGCCCGGCCCAGCACTCCCGCAGCTCCTGGTACAGCTCCTGGTGCTCCTCCTTCCAGCGGGAGAAGCGCTCCGAGGTGAGCGCAGCATCGCTGAGCACCTGCTCCAGGGCCTGCAGCTCCGCCAGCTTCGCCTGCTGGCAAAGAGAGCTTGTTCAGGGGGGGAGGCACCCATGGGCAGGGTGCTCTGCGGGGTGAGGGGGCCGTGGGCTCCCACCTTGAGCGTGCTCTGCAGGGCCCGCACCGCGTGCACCTTGGCGTTGATGAGGGGGTTCTTGCTGCGGCGGATGAAGGACTTGCGGTACTGCTCCTGCGTCAGGACCTGCTGCCGGCCCATGAGGGACACCCCCCCCTGCTTCAGGCACCGCATCAGGCACTCGAGGTCCTCCCCACTGGGTTCTGGGTGAGGAAAGGGGCAGTGTTGCAGCCCCAAATCCCAAGGTGCTGCCCCTGCCCCGAGGGAATCCCAAGACACTCCATGGTTCACAGCCAGGTACATCCCAACTCAAGTCACACACGCACCCCCCCAGCACACATGCACACCAAAAGGGAGGCCCTAACTTAAAGGGTTAACACAAGGTGACAGATGTCACCCCCCAGCACTCACCCGTGGATGCGCAGGGCTGGGGGCTGCCAGGCTCACTGCAAGCTGGGAGGAACTGGGCTTTCTCAGGGGCATTTTGCAACCTTTTCTTTGGCTGAGGGAGAGATGGGGTGAGACAAGGATCCTCCATCCTCTCCCCACCGTGTCCCCAAGGGGAACTCACCAGGTCACAGCCAGGCCTGGGGCACTCATCATCAGGGTCCTCAGCTTCTGTCTCGCTGTAGCAGTCTGGAGGTGAAAGGGGAGGACAGTGACAGCAGAGGGAGTGCAAAGCCCCTGCTGCCCCCCCACCCCAGCCCTCCGAGGGCTCAGCATCACCCCAGACCTCCTCTCAGGGAGCATTTCCCACATCTCCCCTAGATGATGGGAATGATGGACCGGGCATGGCTGTCCCACCAGAACCTCTCCGCAGGGTTCCCATCTCCCCCAGGGGAACCGACCCCATCTCCCACCCCAAGAAGGGCCAGTTACCTTCCTCCCTGTCTGGGACCAACTGGTGGGCCAGCGTGTACTTTGTTTTGGCTGTTATTAAGTGACTGACCCACCTGGGGAAAGAAAGGACACACACAGACAGGTCATGGCCAGCCCTGTGCTGTGGGACCAGCACTGGTGGGCACTGGCTGGTGCATTACTCACATGCTCAAATCAGCCAGCGTTTCTGCAGCGAAGATGAAGGGCTTGTACCTCTGATGGCAGAGCTGGAACACACTGGAGCAGGGCAAGCAGGCAGCTGCTTTTGCTGCTGTGGTTACCCAGCACCAGAGCCAGTCCCCAGCCCACATCCAGCCTCTCCTGTACCACAGCCCCACAGTCCCAACCCAGCCCTGGAGTTCAGGCTTTTCCCTGCCATTGAAGCTGCTCTGGTGCTCATCCTTGTCCCAGGTAACACCAGCAACACAACGCACATATTGCTCAGAGCAGGGGCTCCCATGCTGAGGGATGCAGCCCTGTGGGGACACCACCAGCCCCAGGGCGACCCTATCAGGCCCATGGGCACATGCAGGTGGTACCCAGGAGGCCCCTTCAGCACGTGCCCTTGGGATAGCATCATCCACCCCCTTCCACCACCAGCCAGGAGGTCCATGGTGAGACAGACCCCACTCACTATTTCTTCTTCTGCTCCCTTGTGCTCTCCAGGTCATAGGTGGCTACATTGAGGAGTCCTGCAGCCTTCTCATCCTGCATGGGAGGCAGCTGTGTCCAGCACCCGAGCGAGTGCTGGGGACAGGAGCCCCAAGGACACCCCGGGGGTGCCACTCACGTTGGGGTGATGGTACCAGTAAAGCGTGTGGCCCTTCAGCACAAACCAGCATCGCTTCCACTTCTGGGCCATGAAGCCCACATGATCCTTCTTCTTGAGGAGCCAGCCATCACAGTCCACCCGGCCCAGGTCCCGGCACGAGACCCGCCGGCGGCTCAGCCTGGTCGCCACTCCTGGCATTGAGGGGGGGTCAAGAGCAGGGAGGGGCAGCAGGAGGCAGAGTTTGGGGGAGCCCCCAGCCCCTGTGCACATCAGCCCCAGCAGGGTCCCACTCACCTTTTGGTCTGCGTCCTCTCTGGGGGCTGCCCTGGATGGGGAAACAGAGACAAGTGCTGAGGGGGGGGTGAGCACAGGGCAGCATTAGATAACCCCAACTCCCCCCCAGCAGTAGCCACAGCCCCTTAGGCACCCCCAGCTTGCACTCCCCTCAGCAGAGAGCTCACCCCAGCACAGCTCTAACATTCATGTCCTGTCTGCCCCACACTGACGTCCTCCCAGTGTCTGTGCCCCCCCCTCCAAGGCTCAGTGCTCCCCTCCCACCAGTTCTCACCTCCCGAGGTTGCTGGCTGAGGTCTGCACCCCCAGCCCCCTCCGCAGGGGCTGCCATGGGGCTGAGCTCTGCAGCAAGGGTGCCCGGTGGGGAGCTGCTCTCCCGCGCCACCTCCTCCGCAGCACCTGCACACAGCAATCAGGGCTCAGCTTCCTGCCCCAGGGGAGGGGGGGGCTGCACCCCAGGTACCCGCTGTGCTCCCCTCCTACCATAGCTGGGCAGTGCTGGCAGCTCCCCCACAGCCACCCTGGGCAGCCTCGAGTTCTGCTTCTCCTCTCCTGCCTCTTCGTCCGTGACAGGGTCCAGTGCAGAGTCTGGCCCTGAGTCAAAGTCGGCAGTGGCAGCGCTGGAGGAAAAAGGGATCCTTTAGCTCCAAAACCCTTTGAGCACTGTGGGGGTCCCACTACTGAGCTCCGACCGGCCCCGTGCTTGCTCAGGCACCCTCAATTCTCCCTGCCCAAGGAGGAGCGGGGCTGGAGGCAAGAGAGCAGCTCCTGCTACCGGCTCCAAGCACGCCTTTCCATTCCGGGAGAGGAGAAAAGTCACGTCTAAATATAGCCCCAACCCCATTAAAACGTTACCAAGTGAATGAGTTACAAACACAACCGCTTTTTTTTCCATTCCTTAAGACCCCTGGCAGCTTCCCAGCACGCTTGCAGCAGCGCCTCCTGCTAGGAACAGCTGGGAAGAGGCTTCGGATGCAGCTCCATGGTGGCCGGGCTGGAGGAGGCGGGGTGCCAGGGGACCGGGCTCACCTGGAGCTCAGGGACACGGGGCTGCCTGGGCACTCACTGCTTCTGGTGCTGGTGGAATCTGCAGCATCCAGAAAGGCTTCCAGGAGCTGCGGATGGAGTGTCAGGTGACATCCCGCCACGGACCCCAGAGCTTGAGGGACCACCAGGGTGATGGGAGATGCCCCAGCTCCTAGCATCCCTGCGGTGTTCCCAGTATAGCCCAGTGTGGCACTGGGAGCACTGGGATCACTCACCTGCTGCCTGGGAGAGGATGGGGAGCCAGGCACGTCGAGGGGGATCTTCTTCAGCACCAGCGTCACTCTGCTCACATTCTCCAGCAGCTTCTTTGCCAGGTTGATGCGTGTCCAACCCACCTGCACGCACTGCCTGGTGAGCCACAGGGGACACACACTGCCCCACACTGCCCCATGGCCTCCCAGCCCTATGCACTCCCATGGCTCCTGCATCCCTCAGAGCTTCCCAGGCACTGGCTTCTGTGACCCCCCCCACCTTTCCCAGCCATGGCTCCTGCACTCTGCAGGGCACAGCTCCTGTGTCACCCCCCTCCAGCCCCCCCCAGCTGCAGGTCTCATGTCCCCCCCAAAACCTTCTACCCATAGGCCCTGTGTCCCTCATCCTTCCAGCCCTGCCCGTCCCCATCCATGACTGCCGAAACCAGCACCACCCCTGTGCCCATGTGTTCTCCAACTCACCACAGTCTGCTCATTGACCTGCACGATCTCATCTCCGGGCAGGACGAGGCCCCTGTGGGCAGCCAGGGCCTAGGGCAGAGGCAGGGTGGGATTGGGGTAACGGGCACTCAGGGGTTAACCATTAAGCAGCACCTGAGCTGGCACAGCACTGGCTGGTAGGGCTGGGGTGCAGGGGGGGCTCCCACCACGGGCTAGGCTGTGCTCTCTTAGCTACACGGTCTTAGCTGCAGGCAGCCTCCCCCAGCTCGGGACTGGGAGGGGAGGCTCAGGGGCTCTGTGAGGGGTGACAGGAGGGGAGGGGAGCCCCTCACTCACCTCCGAGGTAGCTGCAGACACAAAGTGGAGGCAGGAGGTGGTGGAGGTGATCTTGAGGCCCTGGGAGGCGACAGGAGGGAGGTGTGAGAGGGATGCCAAGCACTGGGGAGGGCACCGGGGCAGCGGGGACTCACCAGTGGGGCAGTGAGGAGTTGGGGGGTGCTCCCCAGGGGCTCAGAGGGTGGCGTTAGGGTGTCAGGGGATGTCGGGGGGCTCCCCCACGGGCTGGAGGGCAGCATCAGGGTGTCAGGGGACCCGGGGGGACTGCCCTGCAGCACCACACGCTGCAGCACAGCCCTGCGGTCCAGCAGTGCCGGGGGGCTGCAGCCCACGATGCTCTCGCAGATGCCCACGATGTGCTGGCACTGCGGGTGACAGCGGGGGCTGAGGAGGGGCTGTGGCAGCATTAGGCCCCCCCACAGTGCCTGCCAACCCCTCCTCACCCAGCACTTACAATCTGCAGGATCCGGCTGTCCCTCTTGGCCGCAGGACAGTCCTGGGGAGGCAAGGCATGGGGCTGAGCAGGATGGGATGGTTTAGCCCCCTTCCATCCCAGCTGCTGAGGCCCCGCAGGGAACCCCCCTCATGTACCACATCCCCCCTTGCCCTCACTCCGGCAGGCAGAGCTTTGGGGTACAGCAGAGCAGGGGCTGGCTCTACCCTTACACTCCCCCCTCCCCAGCATCACGCCCATCACCATGGCCTTGGGGCAGCACCACCACCCTGGGCACCCACCTCCTGCAGCGTCGCTGCCAGCTGGGCGCAGAGCAGGACGATGTCCTGGCTGGCTGAAAAGTCATTGAGGGTGGAGAAGAGGTACCTGGGTAGGGAAGGGGAGAGAGCTCAGCCCCAGCTGCAGGGGGCACCCAGCACCCACGGCTGCCCTTACCCACCCCAGACCTGTTGAGCCAGGAGAAGAGCCCCTTGGCAGCCCTGACCAGGTCGACGACACGAGCCAGGAGGGCGAGGGAGGGCGGGCGCTGGGCAGCCCCCGCCGGCAGCCCCCCCAGCACCAAGCTCTGGGTGCCCTGTGCCAGCTCCTGCAGCCTCTCCGTCAGCGTCCGCAAGCTGGTGCTCGCCAGCCCCGCTTCCTGCGGGGACACGGATGAGGACAGTGGGGGTCTATGGGATGCTCCCATATCCCCACCTGTACCAACACCACCCCCCCCGCATCCACATCCCTCCTCCCACCTTTGGAGCCCTGCAGCACCCATGGGTGCCAGCACTCACCAGGGCACGGAGCTGCTCCACGGCCTCCAGCAGGAGCTCCTGGTGCCCCAGGCGCCGCACTCCCAGCGCCTCCAGCGCCGCGGCCGAGAGCCGCAGCAGGTCGGGCCCCGCCAGCCCCCACGCCTCGAAGGGGTACCCCTGCACGGCGCCGTCCAGCCCTGCCCAAGGCCGCACTGAGTCGGGGCACCCCAGCACAGTGTCCCTGGGAGCCCCTGCCCGGGTGACCCCCGGCTGCATGCATGGAGTGGAGCCGGTCTCAGCCCAGACGGCAGACCCTGACAGACCCCCCCCCCCCAACCCGGCTGGGTCCAGGGGCCAACCCTCACCGGGGACAACGGGAAGGAGCCCATGGGTAACCCCAGCGCTCACCTCGGAGCCAGGCCGCTGCCTGCGCCGGGCCCCAGGTGCCCACGGGCTCCATGGCGGCCAGGCCGGAACGGGCGGCGGGAGCGGCCGCTCACCTGCGCCAGCGCCGGGCGGCCCCATTGGCGCACACGCGCGCCGCTCACCCGGGACGGCCCAGAGCGGGGCTGCGGGGCGAGGCCCGGGCGCGGCTCCGTGAGTCACGGCCCGAACACAAACGGGAGCCGGGCCCCGCTCAGGGCAGCGACAGCGCCCCGGGGGTGCGCCCTCAGCTCCCCCTCCCCAGGCAGGGCATGCGGTGAGCGCCGAGGCCTGGTACAACCGGAGCCAGCGGCCTTGGGGGTGCGAGGCTCGGCTTCACAGAGCCCTCGGGGGCTTCCTTCGCACCTGAGGCAGGGGCAGCCCCATAGCACAGCCCAGCCCAGCGCTCCCGTCCGTGACCCCGCCAGAGCTGCCCTGGCCCGGCTCGGCCTCACCCCCCCGGCACCTCGGTGCCCGCCTGCCCCCGCCCCAGCCGTGTGCGCTTGGGGGAGCAGCAGGCGCTGATCGCAGCTGACAGCGCTCGGCGCTCGCTGGGTGCGCGCTGCACGGCCCGGGCTGGGGGGGAGCCGTGGGGCAGGCGGGGCCGGACGCACACCCCTCACAGCGGCCAGGGTGAGGGGCGTGAGGCGGGGCGGGGGGGAAGCGGCCCCGTTGCTGCCCCACGGGGCCTGATCCCGCTGCTCCCCGCTGCGCCATGATCATCCGCCCCAGACGCTTAACCCCGGGGTACTTCCGGCTGCTCCAGGTAAGGGGGGTCCCAGGGGGGGTGAGGATGGGACCCACAGGGACCCCTGTGCTGCCCGACAGGCCTGAGAGCCGTGCCCGGCTGTAACCTGCCTCTGGGTTAGCAGCGAGGGTGCTGCTGGAGCCCTGTGAGCGCTGCACCGGGCACCCCTGGACCACCACCCCCCCCGGGGGACCACAAAGCTGTCCCCATTGCCCCCGCATCCCAGCTGGGAGTGATGGGGATGCTCAGGGCACGGCCTCCGGCGCTCTGCCCCCGTGGGTTATGGGGCTGTGCCTCATGTTCCGCTCCCCTCTGCTCTCCTCTCTCCCCTGCAGATGCAGCTGAGAGCAGGGCGCGGGGCCGAGCCGGGGGGGCGGCTGCTGACCCCCCTGGCTCTGCTGCTGGCGGCTGCCGGGCTCTGCCTCTCCTTCTACAGTGCCCGCAGGATGGCCGACCCCAGCAAGGCCCCCCCGGAGCTGTGAGGAGGGGTCCAGCAGCGCTGCGGGGGGGTCAGGGTTCCCCTCTGCCCACTGGCCCCCACCTCAGCTCTGCTGCCAGCTGCGGCATCTTCCCAGCTCATCTGCGCCATGTCCAGCCCTTCCTCCCTGCCCCGGCAGCACAGAGCCCTGGGGCCAGGCCACACGCGCCTCTGTCCATGTCTGTCCCTGCTTTTGGGAGCCAGTTCATCGGCTGAGATGGAGAACACAGAAGTCACCTCCTGGCTCCAGAGGAGGCCAAGGCACTGCAAGACACCGGGATCCAGCCCCAGGAGCAGAGACCGAACAAACACACAAGACGGAGCAGCTGGGGGCTGCATCCCTTTTCCTTTCCCCTGTCAATAAGAGGTTCCCATGGAGCCACCCCGCTGGTGGCCAGGTGCAGGCCCCCACCATCCACATGCAGCCACTGCCAGCAGAACCCCGCAGGAACTGAAACCAACACTGAGCACCATTAATGACACAAAAGGAGGGTTGGGACCTGCAGCAATGGGGAGCAGGGCTGATGGGGCCATGGGGTCACTGACTGCCTCTTGACATCTGCTTCCTTCTGGGGTGGCATCTGAAACCTTCCAGCCCTCCCTGCACCCACCAAACCCTCCCAGAGCTGTAACACTGCATCTCCCTGGAGCTGGGGGAACAAACCCGGGTAGGCTGCATGGAAATAAACCCTTTCCTGCTCAGCACAGCTGTGGGGTTGCTCTGCTTTTCTGCTGCTCCAGCCCAGCACCACAGCTCGGCAGGAGACACAAACCTCTGGCACAAGGGGTTTGCTGCCAGGGCTGCATCAGCAATGTGCTGCATCGGGTGGTGACAGTGTCACTAAGTCCCAGGCAGCGTCACCAGCGGGATCACAGCATCGGGCTGGTGCACGCAAGGCAGGGAGCCTGATCACAGCACACATGCAGCCCCGGCCCTCCACTTGTAGGAGTTGGGTTTTAAGGGACAGGAGCCTGGAAGTGTCCCTGCTATGGGACACCAGCACTCCCTTCTAGGGGCCCAGCACCACAGGCTGCTTTGCCAGCCTGGGACAAGGCTGTTCCTCTGGGGTGGTGCTGTTCCCCTTTGCATGAGCAGGAAGAACAACCAACAAGAGGCTGTGCCCCAAGCAGGGCAGGCACACTGACAGAGAGCTCTCAACACTGCCGGGCTGTTCACTGATGTGTTTTAATGGAGGAGTCTCTGGAGTAACCGCTGACCCATGGAAAGGGGCCTGAAACCGCTCCACAAGCAAAGAGGAGTGCACAGTCCTGCCAGCACTGAGGGAACAAGCGGCCTGCCCCTGCCCTGGGAAGATGGGGGCACCTGGGGTCTCGCTGGCTCCTTCTCCTCATTAGAGCCGTGCACAGCAGCGCTGCCAGGAGCAGTGTTTGCCTGCTGGGACGTGTTCTTCTCACACAGCTGAAGACAAAGGCACCCTCACAGAGCCACTTGGCCCCTCAGTCCGTGGTGCTGAGCTGGACGTCTCCATCTCAGTGACCTCCTCGAGCGCCTGGGTTTTCACCTCCACCTTCTTTGGGGGGATGTAGGACCCCATCCCAGCGGCACGCTCGGCCTCCTCCTGCGTGTACGGGGCCTCCTGCAGCTGCTTCAGCCTGCGGGGAGGGCGGAGGGGGGGGGTGAGGCTTTCAACGCCAGCTCCTCAAACGCAGAACCGGCGCTGCCTCACCCCGATGAAGCGGATGCCGGTCACAGGACCACGGGGTGGCTCAGGACCCCCCGCTCAGGCACCCCTTTACCTCTTCTTGTGCACCTTGGACCGGAAGTGCTCCTTCATGCTGGTCAGGTCCACAAAGTAGCGCCTGGAGGGGTACAAAACAGAGGGGTCAGGCTGGGGAGTGCCAGACCCATGGCTCTCGTGTGTCCCCCTGTGGCCGGTTCCCATGGGGCAGGACCCCCAAGGGTCCCCACAGGGGTTAGAGCCCCCCCACCCCGACCCCAGCCCCGGTCCGCGGCGAGGCGCACGCACGCGCAGTGCAGGCAGTAGAACTGCGCGCATCCCGGCAGGTCGGGGTCCGGCTCCTGCCGCAGCAGCCGCGCCGCGTTCTCGGGCCGCAGGTCCCGGTGGATCTCGTCCAGGTCGCGCCGGCGCCGCTTCGTCTTCAGCTGCCGCGCCAGCGAGTGCGAGCGGTGCGCGCCGGTGCGGCGGCCATTGCGCGGCGACATGGCGCGAACCCACGCGGCGACAGGCCCCGCCCACCCAGCGGACGTGCGTCTGCGAGCCCCGCCCACCAGCATCAGGCCACGCCCCCAGCTCCCCCTCCTGGCCCTCCGCGGCCCGCACTGGGAGCAGGGCTCTGCGCTGTCCCGGTCACTGCTGTGATGAGCTGGGCAGGGCTCAGCCCAGAGCGTCCCGGCCCCGATCGTGTTTCGTCCGCTCCGGGTGATCAATTACAGATGGGAGCCCATGGCCGGATGAGTGCGAAGCCCAAGCGCCCGCTCTGCTCGGCGGGCTTGGGGCAGCCCCAGCCCTGCGGGGCCGCTGTCGGCACGGGGCACTGGGGGGGCTGGGGCGGGGGGGCATTGTGGGGGTGAGGAGCTGATGAGAGCGGCTGATCCCGCGCTGCCCCGGCTCCGGCCGGGCTCAGGTTCCCCTTTGTGCTTGGAAGGAGCCCCTGAAACTTTAATGAAGCCACCGGATCGCCGGGGCAGCGCGGGGCTGCCCTGCTCCCCACAGCACCCGCCGGCTCCCAGCCCCGCAGAGCCCCGCACCATGGCCCAGGCCTTCTGGCAGCTCTACAAGGCCAAAGTGCTGCAGACCCTGGGGGAGGCTCGGGCAGACGGGGCGCTGCAGGAGGAGGTATTGGGGGGGGGGGTCACCACCAAGCCTGGGTCCTCCCAAAGCGGGGTGACCGAGCTGCCTGCCCTCCCCTTGCCTGCACTCCTGCCCTCACTTTGGGGCTCGTTGCAGGGGGACCAGCCTGAGCTGATGGAGATGGCTGAGCCACCCGTGCTGATGGAGGAGGGCCCCAGCCCCGTGTCCCAGCTAGCGAAGAAGGTGAGGAGGGGGCTGGGGGAAGCCGCGGGGGCCCTGCTGAGACCCAGGGGTCCCCAGTAAGCCCAGTGCTGCCTCTCCCCTGCAGGTGCAGGGGGTGGGTGCCCGGGGCTGGCGGACGCTTTCATCCTTCTTCACCCGCGAGGACGAGCACCAACTGCTCAGCCCCGAGCTCTGCGCAGACCAGTAAGTGGCACTTCAGTGGGGGGGACCCCAGAGCCTGGATCCAGCCCCTGGGAGCTCACGAGTCCACACCCCCCCCATCCCATCACCCACATCCCATCACCTGCATCCCCCTCTCTGCCAGGTCTCATAAGGCTGGGCTGGGGGGGCAGCATGGAGGGGGGCCTTGGGGGTGCCAGTCCTGGCCACGGTGGGACGCAGTGAGAAGGGTCCCTACACCGACATGCCCGTACCCGCTCTCTCCCCAGCCCCCTGGCTGCCTCGCCCCCGGAGCCGCCCCCCTCTGAGAAGGCTTCCAGCTTTTGGGATCTCTTTGCTCCCAAGTGGCAGCAGGCACCGGGGCTGGACAAGGAGGTCTCCCCCCCGGAGCTGGCCGAGAGCCCCGCGGAGCCATCAGGTGACGATGGCAGCGACCTGCGGGAGCCGGAGGAAGGAGCCTTCCGCTGGGGCTTCCTGACGGGCAAACTGGCCGAGATCCGGAATAAAACCGCTCCCAAGGGCAAGTAGAGGAGGACGCGGCCGCGGGACCCTGCAGCAGCACCAGCGGCTCCGGAGGGCAGCCCCTGCCCACAGCCCAGGGGGGCTCCGCGGTGTTCCGTGACCTGTCTGCACTAAAGACCCCGAGGTGCCTCCTTCTCCCCGAGCCCTGCCTGGTGCTTCCTTCGCCCTTGTCCCCCCCCAAGAGCCCTGTTGTCCCCGGAGCATCATGGCCCCACCGCGGGATGCGCAGCCGCATCTCTCCCCGCCAGCCTGAGCTCTGCCCCACACGAACCACACGCGATGCCCTATAAAAACAGAGCCAGGTTTATTGAGCGCTGCTCCGGCCCCAGCAGCCAGTTTGCTGCGGGGTGGGCACTGCCTGCAGTGGGGGGCTCGGGCTCTGCCCACCCCATAGCTTCCAGTTGGTGCAGGGCATGAGCGGAGACAGGGAGGATGGAGCTGGGTCAGGCACGGCGGCAGCAGCCTGCCAGCCCTGCGGACAAGGAGAGACTCCCCCAGGGGAGCCCCTTTCCCACCTGCCCTCGGTGCTCTCATCCCTGGTCCTGGGTAGACCTGGCGGCCCTCTCAGCCAACGGCTCCGTAGCACCAGAACGGGGACATCACCGGGGCTACCTCCACTTAGAGAGCGGGCCCCTGGGCCGCCACCCCCGCTCGCTGGCAGTCGTAGAGCCACTTGATGATGCGGGCGTTGCGCTCCACCACCGAGACGGCAGAGCCCAGCCGAGCATCCGGCTCCTCCTCACCCGCTCCCACCTCCCCATCGCTGCCCGCCGAGGCCTGCCCGGGCTCCGACTCGCAGGAGCCGTGGAGCTGAGCCCGGGCGTTGTCCCAGCCCGCGGGCACGAACCTCTCCCGGCCCAGCAGCTCCACCAGCGCCCGGTCCAGCCCGCAGCAGTTGAAGAACCGCTCCTGCTCCGAGAGCGGCAGCGACAGGCGCAGACCCAGCGCCGGCTTCCCTGGGGGCTGCGCCACGGAGCCGCCGGGCAGAGCCACGATGCCAGCGCTGCCGGCACCCGGCGTCCTCGCCGCCTCCTCCTCCTCCTCCTCTGCGGGCACCCACGGCACGGGGGTCCCGGGGCTCTGGGGAGCCGGCGGCCCCTCGCCCACCCCCATGGCCGGGGACGACCCGGGGCGTTTGTCCCTGCGGGGGCCCTGGCAGAGCGGTCGCGGCAGCGCGGAGCCCTCGGCGTTCTCCTTGTCCCCGTCCGGGCAGTCCCGTCCCTGCCGCTGGATGAGGAGGGCCTCGGGTCCCAGCACCGGGCTCTGGCACAACTCGTGCCGCTGCTGGCGGGCGAGGGCGCGCTGGGCTCCGGGGGAGAGCCAGGGCGAGCGGCTCCGCAGCGCCGGCTCCTGCCGCCGGTTGATGACCTGCAGGGACTTCACGTACTTGGCCTTGTCGGCCTCCAGCCGCTCCACGGCGCTGCACGTCCGGGCCCCGCCGCCCCCCGGCTCCCGCGGCCACCCGGGGCTCCGGTTCAGCCGGGCCAGGGGGGAGCCGCGGCCGGGAACCACGAGGCGCAGGCTGCTGGAGGCGCAGGCAGCAAGAGGGGGGCTGCCCGGGGGCACCATCGCCCCCAGCCCTTGAGTGTGAACCCCGGTTGCTCTGTTCCCCCTCGAGTGGCTGAGGAGGGGTCCGGTGCTGCGGATGGGGAGGCTCCCGAAGCTTCGCTTGGCTCCTGGATTAGGCCCTGGGAGGAGAGAGGAGATCCGGGTTCAGCACCAAGGATGCAGCAGTGGCAGGAAGTGTATGGGGGGATAAAGCAGAACTGGGGCTTCCCTTGATCCCATGCTTTGGCCAAGCAGGGAGCTCTGCCAGCCGGGCACAAACAATCCATGGGCAGGAAGAGAGAAGTGCTGAGCATCTGCCGGCTTCACCCGCACCGCAGGAGCAGCTTCCAACAGGAAGGAATAGCAGAGCCTCTGCCTTATCTTGGAGCACAGGGACAGGAGAACAAAGCCCCTGCACGGGAGAGCTGCGGAGCTGGGCCCCTGCGTGGTGGCACCAGGGCAGGGGCTGCAGGATGCTCTGGGGTCCCGGGGTCCTGCTCCCTGCAGCCAGGCTGAGGCATCTCCTGCTCAGTGAGGGGGGCATGGAGCAAAGGGGCTTTATCAGCCCTGGGGCGTGATGGCTCTTGCTCGGCTGTGCCCGAGCATCCGTGCACATCCAGGCTGTGGGTGCCAGAGGAAGGGGGTCTGGAGCCTGGGCCCGGGTTTGTAAATGCCCAAAGCAGGTTGGTTTCACTGAGCAGAGAGACCTAAATGGTCATGGAGAGCCAGCCCATTGCCAGCAGCAACCCAGCCCCGCAGCCTCTCCAGGTGACAGCAGGGACATGGGACATGGGGCTGGGCAGAGCGGGATCACTGGAGAGCAACAGCCCAGGAGCCCTCTGCCTGCTCAGCTCCACACAACCCCACCGCCGCATCCAGCCCTGTACAGACAGGGAAACTGAGGCGCGTGGTTTGTCCGGTCCCATGCTCCCAAGGGCTGAGCTCCCCACTACTGGGCAGAGATCCCCAGCAGCTCAAGGGAAGGTGCCCCCAGCACAACCCCATCCCCTTCCAGCTTTGCTTTGGCAGAGCCAGCGAGCCCAGTGCCCTGCACCATGCCAGGATCATGCCCAGCACCTGGGCTCGGTAGGTGGAGGATGCTCTCGCTCACCTGAGCCCACACAGGGATGCAGGGATGGGATGTAGGATGCTCTGTTCTTGCTCGGCTCCTGAGCCACCACAGGGATGAGATGTGGGATGCTCTGTTCTTGCCCAGCTCCTGAGCCCACACGAGGATGCAGGGATGGGATGCAGGATGCTCTCTTCTTGCTCAGCTCCTGAGCCACCACAGGGATGCAGGGATGGGATGTGTGGATGCTCTCTGCTCGTTGGGCTCCTGCCCCTCTGCCGGCCACAGCAAACTGAGCCCAGAGCAGGCAGGAGCCTCATGTAGAGGTTGAGGAGGAGCCACCCCATTAACCCCTGCCAGCCCAGCCCCACCAGCAGGAGCGCTGTGCCCCAGCCACAGCCTTCACCCCCTGGAGCCCAGCCAGCATCACAGCTCCTTCTCCTGCAGCCCCAGCTCACCTCAGCAGCTCTCCTCCTCCTTCTGCCACCTCCCGATAGGAGCCTGGCCAGGATTCTGGGATCTGCAGCAGGGATCTGCCTCCTCCCAGGCAGGACTGAGTCTTTTCATCGCTCCCCAGCACACAACGCATCTAGGATGGGACAGAGAAACCACCCTCCTCCATCCACCTGGGTGGATGCTGGGTGCGGATCCAGTCCCTTCCCCATCCAGCGAGGGAGGAGGAGGAGGGAGGCAAGGTCCCTCTGGCACTTCCCGTGCTGGTGGCGAAAGGGTCAAAGCGGACCAGGCAAGTCCCTGCCTCCTCTTCCCCCCTCCCCGGGAAGGGCTGTAAATCGCAGGAAGCCACAATGGGCTGGAGCCGGCCCAGGGGTTATTTTTACCTCTGCCCAGGGCTGGGTGCTCCCAGGGGCACCCCCCCTGTTCCCCGCTCCTGCCTGGGGGGCTGTGAACGTGGGGCTGCTGTGGCCTGGGGCGGGGGGACACCGGCTCCCTCCATCTCCTGCAGCTGGTGTGGATGGAGATGGATGGAGAGCACTGCCAAGCCCAGGCTCCAGCAGGGACAAAGCCCAGGCATTTGGCCTGGGACCAACTGGGACCATCCCAGTTCCTTCATGTGGTGCTGCTGCTCAGGAACTGGGATGTGAGCAGTGCCAGGAACTGGGTCCGCATCCAGCACTTCCCTGTGCGACAGCACCAGTGCCAGGACTGGACTGGTGAAACCAGGATGAGAGCAGCCAGGGCTTGTCCAGGCTCTGCAGGCCCTGGGAAGAACCCCAGGAAAAGCAAGGAAGGGACAGGACCCATTCTATTGCAATAAACCTGGAGAGGAGCAATGCAGGGAGCTGCCTCTTGCAGCAGTATTCGGGCTCTGTGTGCACGATTCGGCCATGCCAGAGCAAATCCAACCACCTCCAGACGGGAAAAGGACGGGGGTAAGTGATGGAGAACCTGCAGCAGCCCCAGGATCTGCTGCAGGAAGAGGGGCACCCACGCTCCCACAGGGTTCTTAACTGCAGACAACGTGAATCACTGTTTATCAGAACAGGTTTTGTTTCCTGAGCAGGAGTAACGGGAAAGCCACAAGTGAGTAAGAGCAGCCTCATATTCCCCTTTCCCCGGCGGATGCAGGGTGTTCCCATGGGATGCTCCTACCAAACGCCTGCCCCTGTCCCAGAGCTCCCCTCTCCAGCTCCTGCTCAGAGCACAGCTGAACTGGTTCATTTAGGCAAAGCACCTTCCCTTTGGGATACAACAAGGGATGATTTGAGGAGCCCTTCCTGGCATCAGCATCCCAGGCAGCTCCTGCTTCCCCTGGGGAGGCAAATGGGGTTTTGTCACTGTGACTTCTAGGAAGGGATTTACCCGATTTACCAGCCTCTTGGTGGCTTTTCTGGGTCCCGTGGATGCTCAAAGTCCCTTGTTCTCATTGCAGAACACTCGGAGCTCTCACAAGGCGCTCTCTGCTCTGCACTGGGGCTCTGCTGCCCTCCCAGCTCACTGGGAAGCAAGCAAGGTACCAGGCAAGCAAAGCAGCCCTGGGCACAACCCAGGCACGGCCGGTAACGAACCCTCCATCCTTGCAGCGGGTGAGAGGAGGCTGAGGAGCCCTCAAGGAGATTCCTTCTTCTTCCAGCACCGTTTTTCAGCTTGATGACACAGCCCTGCTCCTGCAGGCCCCCTCACGGCAGGGACAAACCTGCCCCCATCCAACCCCTTCCAGGTGCATTTCTCCTTTACACAGAGAACTGCAAAGCCCCACTTTAACTCCCCCACCACCAGGCACAGGCAGGACCGCAGCACCCGATAGCATCCACCTGCTGCTGCCTGCTGCTCTGCTTTCACATCCCACAAAAGGCCCTTCGTGGTCCCAGCTCCATGCAGATGCCTGGAGAGCAGCCCCTGGGAGCTGGGTGGCTGCAGGGCAGTGGGAGCCTGGGTTGCAGGCACTTACCCTATGGGGAAGGCAGGAGCAGAAGGCTCGCTGTACCATTGGCACCAATGGGCTTGAATAACCCTGAAGCCATCACTAACCTAAGGTACCAGTAACCACAAGGAGGAACCAGACAGCAGCGGGGCTCCTTGTTGAATCCTTGCCGTGGGGGGCTTCAGAACCTGATGGCTGCAGAGCAAAACAGGTCAGAACCATGACCCCGAATGCAGACAGAGATGGAGGAAGGGGCCAGGACTGAGGGCAGCATCCCCGGTGTCAGCGGCGAGCACCTGGGCTGACCCCACCGCCTGCTGCAAGGGACCCACAAAGGTTTTTAGGCTGCATCTCCTCTATCTGATTAAAGAGGCCTCTGCGCAACCGCACTCTGCCTCCTCAGGAGACAGCAAATATGGGGCAGCCCCACAGAGAACAGCTCCAACCACCCCCGGGCAGCTCAGCCCAGGCCCCTCCTCACAAACTGCAGCCCTGATGCAATCCCTTTTCACTTCAGGCAGGCAAAGACTCTGCACATTCACGTGGGAACAAAGGGATTGCACAAGCGCATGGGCTGGGCTGCAGCTCCCCTCGCAGCGCTGGTGCTGGCTCATCCTCCAGGTCACTTCTCCCTGTTTCATCTGCTTTGCTCCCAAGAGCACGCAGGCCCCTCCTAATAAGCTCATCCCTCCTCCCTCATAGCACTTAAGGGATAGAAACTGCACTTTGCATCCACAGCTGCCTCCGACCAAAGGGGGAGCTAAACCCACAGCGCCCAGTGAACAGTCGGGGTTTACTCGCTCCAGTCCTCTGCTCACTGCACAAACCCCCAGTAAAGACAAGCAGTGCTTAACAACCAACGTGCCATGGGAGGATCTGCAGAGCATCCGTGGAGCAAAGGGAAAAGCCACACAAAGTCCCCCATTTGTGCTGCCCCACAGTCCAAAGGCCACCTGAGTGCATCTGCCCCGCACCTATGGCACAGGGAGGGGGGGGGAAAGCTGCTTCTTCAAAGCCAGGGCAGCTTTCCAAGGGGTGGACGAGCGGGACAGCAGCCTTATCTCCACCACAGAGCAACATCTGCCATTACGCTGCAGTTTAAACCAAACACAAAGCAAAACCAGAGCCAAGGCGAGCGCTCAAGGCCTGGATCGCCCAGCGAGGACCTGCCCAAGGGAATGGAACAGGCGAGATGGGGCCTCAGTGTCTGCACAGCGAGGAAAACAAAGCAGAATTGGGGTTATCTGAGCCTTGGGTACATCCAGTGTCAGCACCAGGGCAGTGCCTTGCAGGTTCCTGCCCTCCCTCCCAGCCATGGATTAGATACAGTTCAAGGCTCAGGCTCCTTTGTTTTGTGCGGGAGGAATTTAGCTTGTGTCTGTATTGAAAACCCCCACTCTTCCCACGAACCCAAGGTGTGACCTTCTCCTTTCATTAAGGTGCTTATCCTCCAATACAGATCCTGCCAAGGGGGGAATCTGCCTATTTCTGGCACTGGCATGCACAGGAATCTGCAGATGCCGATGCAAGAGCACAGCCCATGTGGCTGGCCTTGGGTTTGCTGCAGGGATAAGAAATGGCAGGACCAACCTGGTTGCGCTATTCCCAGTCCCTCTGCTCCAATGGTAATGAAAACATTGTCCCGATTTCAGCTGTAACCAAGTTCATTTTGTTCCTAGCAGCTGGTGCAGGGCTGTGGTTTCAGCCTTAGTGGGAGAACACCACTGATAACACACCAATGGCTTGGGTGTATTTACCCTGAGCAAGGACTTTCCAGTCTCGTGCTCTGCCAGTGAGGAGGAGCACAAGAAGCCAGGAGGGAGCAGAGATAGGACACCTGAACTAGCCAAAGGGATATTCCATCCCACAGCACATCATGCCCAATAGAGAAACTGGGGGGAGCTGGACCCAGCTCAGGTCAGGCTGGGTATGGGTCAGTGGGGGCTCAGCAGTAGGATTGCACATCACTGCTGTTAGTTGGGGTTGTTTTGTTTGAATCTTTCCCTCTTATTTCCCTTTTCCTTATTACTCCTATGCCTTAATTATTGCACTGCTCTTATCTCGAGCCACACGTTTTACCTTCCTTCTGATCTTTAGCTGCCAGATGGAGTTAAAACCACAACAAACATGCAAAACACTACTATATTTTTGTATTATGCCCAAGTACCAGTGGCTCCTGAGCTCTATTCCTAAGGTTCCTCAGGGCACACAAGACCACAGGCCACAGTACCTCACACATCTCCAACTACTTACACCTGGTTGAGGTCCCAAGAGCCAGCACATGCCTGCTCCCTCCACCAGCTCCAGCCAAAGCCAGCAGTGTCTGGCTTTGTCCAGGAGCACCAAAGGGAAGCAGGGCAGAGCATACATTCACCATCAGGCCTGTGGTACAACAGCTTTCACCCACAGAACAAGGGAGGGGAGCTTTTGGTATGAAATCCTGCTCCAGCAAACACAGGAGCTAGAGAGGAAAGACTCGCTCCAGGACACTGGCAGCATCTATTGGCATCCTCAGTAGTACCAGTAGTAGGTCAGCCCATGGTGGCACTCAGTATGTTTCTAATAACTTCACGTATGTACTGGATGCAAGTACTGCACTTTTCATCTTTAATCCCCTCTTTGGAAATGAGGTATAACCACAAGAACAGCATTTTGACTTAAAAAGGCTCAGCAGAATGCACAGGGTCCACACGGACATGGCTCACCTCAGGTGGTCTGGAGCCAGCTCCGTTTTCACATGCATTCAGCCTCACTGTCAACTCCTCCAGCTGCACATCACACATCAGTTAAAGTCTGGCACTGCTGCTACCCAGAGAGGATGAGTGGCACTGCTATTAACCAAGCCAGCATCCTCCATGAGCTGAGGATAACCCATAGGATGACTGTGAAGTGCTACAGCCTACTTCTGCCCAAAGCACAGCAAACAAACTC